TTCGCCATTTTATATCATTAACTTTACTAATTTACTTTTTGTATGAATGATTCATTGTGATATAATATGAACTGCACCGCATATTTCATTTAAAAGATCTGATCCGACTTGCAAATTTTCAAGATAACAACTGAGACATTACTCTACCGATTGAACTATTTAGTTCATGCCATGTTGACTGATAAACTCCTACAACAAAAAATTCTTAAAATGCCATATAATTACCATATTAATAAAAAAAACGCGCTCACTTATATTAAAAAAAATTCAACCTTAGCGTTGTTTGTATCTGTAATCAATAACAGATTAAAAAAAAAAAGAAAACATACAAAGATTTGGATTATATTGTTTTGTTACGGATGCCATTTTAATCTTACCGAAAAGAAAATAGTTTCCATGCATGATGATGACTGGTAGAACTGTCAAAAGTACTTGCGTATTAAGGAAAAAAAAAAAACAATACAGTTTATAATTTAAAAAAGAAAACAGAGATCATAACATTCATCGAGTAATTAGTAGGTTTATCTTTAGAATTTTGCTAATGAAAGGATTTTGTATGAATGATTCATTGTAATATATATATATATATATATATATATTATATACATATATATTATATTATATACATATTACGTATATAGTAGGAAAAATTACTAGATTATGAAACAAATATATCAGCTTTTTTGTAGGCACACCTAGCATGTGATATGTGTCTGTATTTTTGTACTTATACTAATGCAACAACTAGCCTGGTCAATACCTAGATGGTGACCGCTTGCGAATACCAGGTGCTGTAAACTTGGGAGTGCGGATGGTGTAATGCATAATGGCGCAGATTTGTTAATCGGAGAACCGCGTTCCAGTTACAGTTGCGTTCATTATCTTCACTTACGCGCAAATAACTTTAGGAAATGTATGAATCCACCTCTTACCCCCATGTATGGGTTAATTAGTAAGACTTATACCAGTAAAATCAAATACAATCTAAAAATATTTTCGTGGCTATAAAATAACAGGCAAAGACTTGATAAGGCGTAAAACGACCCAATTAATCAATCCCTTGCCCCAATTCACTTCTATCTATGACAGTCATGGGCAAACTGCATCCTGTGGACCACATGCATCCCGTCTGGTCTTCTGAATGGCACGCATAATTTAATGAGGAAAATAACGTTTATTAAAATTTTGTGTTTTGTTTCATTCACTAACACAAAATTGTTGAGAGAAGCTATCAAAGTGGAAATAACTATTAAATGCTTGAGTACTCTCCCTTATGTTTTAATGTCTGTTGCATTGTGGGTACAGTTCGACTAATCCGCATTCATAACAATGATTAAGTATGATGTGTCTTTGATTTTTTAAACTTTCCTTGACGGTAACATTCGCAGCATTTTAAAGCATTGGCGATTTTCATTAAGGAAGATCCTACGTGTAAAAATATTTTTCTTTATAAACGAAAAACGTTTATATTAAGTTTTTTCTCTGGTGAAATTTATATTTTCTTTTAAGCATATATTTTTTGTATTTTTAAAAGAATAAGTTAAAAACAAATCACACACAGTAGTACGTGTTAATCACAATGTCATAAGTGATAATATTAGATGAAATCTTCAATTTTTAAATTGGAGAAAAAATCTTTTCTCCAAATATCAACTTTTTGCCCGTTTCTAAGGCAGATACTTATGCGTATGATCTTCTGTAGTGAAAATAGCCATTTTACTTTCAACGAAAAATTAATTTGAAAATTTTTTTTTTTTATTAATGCTGCCAGCCTTATGATGAGCCATCTATCATGCGGCCCACTGGTCGGAAAAATTTGCTCCTTCACGATGTAAGTCTTGTATTATTAAGGCATTATTATAACTAAAATTAAAATAAAAAGTCCATAGAGGTTTTTATATTGCTAAACAAAAACCAACCATGATACTGATAAAAAAGAATAAATTGAAGAAAATAGAGATTAGTCTCAATTTGAAAACCACATTATTACCCTCATTGCTCGCTTCGGCATATATATTTCATATCTAGCGATCGATTCCAAAGCAATCAAGCAAAAACGCTGATTATTTCTGCTAGTTTAATATGTACAAACCGCCCATAACCTGAGACATTTTGTTTTTTCGATCAAATTAAAACGCCAAAACCAGAAATCGCCAATGCACTATATTTTGATCACGAATTCAAAGATGGCGCATGATGTCGGCTGATATCTCTCAATAAGCAGCCAGCGACTAATTAAGATTTTGGCACATCTAAATGGCTCACTGCCATCGACTTGGCCTGTGTAAATCTGCTGACCGACCAGGCATTACAGCCATCTATTATCCTGTCTTTGTTCACTGTCTGCAATAGTAAGGCCGACATTTAAACGGAGAGTTTACATCAAGAGGACTTTTGCAATGTCGGTCACAACTTTCAAAGTGCTGGCTCATTCACTATCACATGATTAGTGCTATGAAGTAAAAAAAAAGCCATTTTTTTATTATCCGTGTTACCAAATTATTTTCACGCAAAAATGAAATTACAAACGCATTTCTCACTATCTTTAGAGTTATCTATTATTCTGCCCCCAGAGATACATGTAGACAGGCCGTCTAATTCAGGTATTTATCAAATTATTATTTTAACAAGATTATACACGGATAATACGTGTGTGCCTTCGAATCTGTCATGAGGTTTGTTAACAAATATTACTTTAATTTTCCGCACCAGGTGAGGACGGGGAGAAAAAAATACCAATAAAAACTTTTGATCTCAGTAATTTTTTTTTAAAGTATTTCATCCCAAGCAAGGCGGGGAGTGACACTAGCAACGCAAGGGGTTACAGATGGTGGGAACAAGAATAAAGAGACGTGATTGAATAAAGGATAACGAGGACGGGGAATTAGACCAAGGCATCAGAAGATGTCGATTGGCATTACATTTGAATATTTGAAGACTATAACTGTCAGAGAAGCAAGTAAGAGGAAGGGATTTCCACAGACGGGAAGTGCGAGACATGAAGCTCTTGGAAGAGAAGCGACGGCTACATTTAACCGTTTCGACAGTGAAAGGGTGGGACCGAAATGCCAACCTAGTAGAAGAATTAATTTTATGCAGTTCGGGAACCAGAGAAAGTAGATCGTCGGTAAAGTTACCATGAAAGTATCAGTAGAAAAGACAGAGGGAAGCGACGGCACGTCTGTGAAAAAGTAACTGTAGACGAGATGCCAGATCAGGACCCATCACATTGCATATCCGTCTCTGGGTTTTGCCCAGGACCTTGAGACGCACAGCGGGTGCTTGAGAGTGACATAAAAAATAAAAGTTTATAAAAACAGTTGAAATATAAAAGCGTATCCGGGGAGGAAGTGGGGTGATCGAAATAATGAGATTCATGAAAGCTGAGGGGGAAGACAAATGAATTTAATGGATATTCGGGCGAGTAAATGTGATGATTAAAACGTTTGCCAACATGGAATCGTATGGAATAAAAAGGATTTTGATGGATATACAAGACGGAAGTGAGATCCCCCAAGAAGGCGGTGGGAATAAAAAAGATTTTTCTAGTCATCTGTGGTATGTTCCAAGAATAACATTTATGAAATCGTATAAAATAAAAATATTTTAACGGATTATCCAAGGAAGAATTGGGATAATCCAAAGATAATATTCACAAACCCGGAGTGAATAAATGTGATTTTAGTAGTTATCCAATGAGAAAGTGGTATAATCCACGGATAACATCCATGTATTGAATAAAGAGGATTTTAATCGTTATCCAAGTTGGTTTGGGATGATCCAACAAAAAAAGAATGGAATTCAGTGGATATCCGGGAATGATGTGGGATGATCCTAGCATAACGTTTATGAAATCCAATAGAATACAAAAGGATTTCAATAAATGTTCGGTGAGGGCGTGAGATAATCCAACAGAGAGCATTTATAAAATCCGACATGATAGAAAGGATTTCAGTGAATATAAGAAGGACAACATTGAAGAAACTGAATGGAATACAACGTATTTAAATGGATTTTGGACGAACCGTTTAGTTGTTTCTTTTCAACAGAGGCATCTATCTATCCTTGGAATCGAGTCTGAACCAGAAACAAAATCCATCATTTTATTACAGTATAAATCCTTCCTATGTCTACTTTTTGAGTCAAGTGTAAATCGAACCTAAATCTTCATAAACCGTATCACTTTACCGTTACCGGTTCCGTTACAATCCGGACAAGTGTTTAATTATCTATTCACTATGTTTGTTGATACACTTTCCATTAAAGCGAACAATGATGGTTGATATAATATTGAAATTAAGCAACGTAACTTGGCTTATGAAATGCCTTTTACAATGACATAATGAAGACGCGACCTGCAGTTGAAATTCGAACTCGCTTTACGGATTCCGTATGTTGGATGTACAGCTTTTCAGTATCTCCTGATATATTTTGTGAGAATCGGTTTTCACAGAGAGAAACTGATACTACACTCTGAGCTAGTGTTGTATATGAGGCAAGGTCAGTGTTTATATAAATTTAATATCGGGGATAAGGAAATGGAGCATAGCCTCGCCTAAGATTGCAAATTACGAGAAAAACAAAAACTAACCTAAATACACGAGTCCTGTTCATAAGCAGCCTCATAAGATCAAAACTTATAGAGATGTCATGCATAACATCAAACACATTGAAAGTTGGGTTGGTTGATTGATTTTGTTTAGCAGCAATCTCTATGGGTGATTTAACGCCCTTCACATATAAAATGTTATTATTAGCCATTCTACTATAAAATATATTGCTGGTCATTTTCCTTTTAAAAAAGTATTGCTGGCAATTTTACTATAAATAAATATTGTTGGTAACTATATAAAAATGTATTACTGGTATCTCTATCTATAAAAGGCGGGATGTGTGTGTGTGTGTGTGTGTCTATGTGTGTGTGTGTGCGTGTGTTTAACGAATGCACGATCGCAATTTTCGACGGATTTCCACCAAAATTTACATGCACATGCTCCAAGTTCTTTCTTGCGTTCTTTCTTTCTTTCATCCTTTTTTCTTTCTTTCTTTCTTTTTTTCTTCTTACTTTCTTTTCTTTCTTTCTTACATTCTTTCTTTCTTTTTTCTTTCTTTCGTTCTTTCTTAGATTCTTTCTTTCATTGTTTGTTTGTTTCTTTCTTTCTATTTTAAATATTTCGCCTTGTGCCATGCTTGCTGCTTTGATTGGTTATCTCTTTCTTTTTCGTCTACATCGTCTTTGTTTTATAAAAAAATATTTTTATTACCGCAATCCCCATGTATAATACGGCTTCATCCATAACACGCACCCCTAAAACCATGATGAAAGTATGTGAAAATGCTTCTATTCACGCATAATACGCACCCCTTGTTTGGCAATCAAAGCCTATAAACTGTGTCTCTCTAATTTCATTACGGCTCGCGTACTCTACTCTTATTTTAAAAAAAGTTTTAAACAGAATAATATTCCAATTTAGTTTTATGATAATTCTTATTTTATTTTACGGCAATTCTTTAAAGAATTTTTGTAGCTGTGCATAATACGCATGTAATTTAATTATTATTTTTTAGAAAACATGCGTATTACACATGCGGAATTACGGTATTAGTCTTTGGTTTAAAAATAATGTTTAATCTTTTACATGTTTTTAATATGTACCTTTGAGAAAAGTGTTTTTTATGCCAGACGAGTTGTAAAAAAATATGTTACAGTTTTAAAATTAGCAGTTAAAGAACTGCCAAAATTATTTATTTGTGAATTATTGCGAATTTGAATTTATGGAAAAATAAGTTGTCATATTTACTGGACAAAGAGAGACGTGCTCTCAATCCGTTGTGAAAAACAAGATGGAGTCTTCTATGATTCTCGTCTGTTGAATAAAAGGACTGCTTATAGCTTCAGAAAGTAATTTATCATCGTGGATTTGTCCAGCCGAAGGGGTCATAAATTATCTGGGGGGAAAGAAAGAAGAGCCGACAGCTAAAAATCTCAACCGAAAGACAGATTCAAGTCGCAGGACAGAAAATTCTTTCCAGAGTCTTCCAAAGAAGAATTTGAACGAAATAAACGCTCTTGTTGAACTTTCCAGTAAAGAACTACATGAAGTATTGGAGACAAAAACCTCTTGAAAACACGAAACCCCTTCACATAAAACGGTTAATATTACATTTAACATTAACCATTTTTTGATGGAACTTCATTGTTTCCGTGTTTGGTATTCTTAGCATATGTTGGCAGAACGACATCTCTGTAGGTTCAAGTCTCTTATTTATCTGCGAGGAAATTGTCCAATATTCACTGCCACAATGGAGATTTCCTATGCGTTATTCCTTCATTCAATTCAAGCAACTTTATTAATCAGCTATTTGTAGTATTAAGTACGGTTAGGAAAGCAAAAAATGAATAATAGAAAATTGGAAAGGATTATTCTCCAAGATGGCGTTCAGTTATACGCTGGCATAAAGTGGAAAGGTTATATTGAATCAATTGCAAGGACAGCTGCTAGGAAAGTCACTGGAATTTCTAGCAAAGGACTACATAAAGTCATAAAGAGTTGAAAACATGAAACTACTGTGCTGAGACATTGCTAATAAGTATTCAGCTGATGAAATTAGTTTTTGAATTTTCTGCCTTGAGCAATTTTTGTTTCCTCAAAGTTTTTACCTTGTGTTTTTTACATTTTTAAAGGGTGTAAACTTTTTCGTCATTCAATCCGTGTCTTTTCATAAACTGTAACCCTTTTTTTCATTTTTCGACGACAATTCTATTTTGAAACATCAAAAATGTGTTATTCTGCCTTAATAGGCACACAAAAGAGAACTTTTATACAAATCTTATATTTGTACCTTTTTTTTGTCTTTACTTGTGTAATAAATGTTTTTCCTTTATAATTTTATGCTGTGGTTACGTCTTATTTGGGATTTGCGCCTATTTTGACACCAAGGAGAAGAGAAGCACGTATTCCCTTTTCCTTTTCTATTACTATTAACGAGGTTTGTGTGTTTTAACAGAAAGATTTTTTTATGAATTTCGCTCAGTGAATGACGAATATTTTGCTTATAAAGAAACGATTAATTTTACATTAACCGTTAACCATTTTTCAAATAAAAGACTACGTAAAATTCTCGACAGAAAAACCGTTAAATATACGAGACCCCTGTGTGCCAAAACAGTCCTATTTAGTATTCAGCTGATGAAATTAGATGGGCGCCCTTTTGCATTTTCTGTCTTGTGCAATTTTTGCTTCTTCAAAATTTTTTTCCCTTTTTTTTAATTTTCAAAAGATCTAATTTTTATGTCGTATGTTATAAGTGTTACCTCAGCCTTAATTATTTATAAGGTGATAAAAGGAAATTTTTGTGCAAGAGTCTTCTATGTAATGTTTTGTATTTTTCCATTTTCTGTATTTTGTAATAAATATGTGCACTTTAAAGTTTTACGCAGTGGTTCGTGTCTTGTCTGTAAATTGCGTCCTATACAAGCTTTTATTCCAACCAGCTAGGTGTTTGTCTTTGGCACAAGAATATAGATTTGGTAGGTAATTCCTTTTCACAGTTTCCCTTTCTTTCTTTCTTTCTTTCTTTCTTTCTTTCTTTCTTTACATCAATTTCCTTTCTATTTCTCTTTCTTTTTACTCCTACTCCCTTCTGTTGATTTACTTTCTTCTTCGTTCGTTCGTTCGTTCGTTCGTTCGTTCTTTGTGTCTTTCTTCTCATTCCACTCAATCAAAACGGAATAGTCCATTACTTATGAGGCAATGGCAGGACGTAACGGTCCGGCAAACTAACGAAGGGAGGGGCAAGCAGACTTATAATAGGATATTAGTTGTTTCCTTATAAGGAAACATTCGATGTTCACTGACCAAGCAGCCAGTACAAACCGTCATTTGACATTTTTATCCCTTCTTCGTTACATTTTTTACAATAACGTGGAACGTTAGCATCTTGATAATGTCATTATATTTCGTTACATATGCTATCGATTTTAGTTCTTGCTGCTGTTGAAAGTCCTCAAGTGATGCGGTTCCTGTCATCTGGCAAAGACCTTTGTGATTCCGTAGCGCCATTTTACAATGTTCGAAGAAGGATTGTCCTCGATGAGACTTACAGGCTTCACATGCACGAAGCTGCTTTCAGTCATCGATCTGGGGAAGCGGTTGTATACAGCTGACAGTTCAGATATCTCTGAACGAATTTAGTGCTGTGCATGGCATCCATATAAAGGTTTCAGGCTGAGGAAGTTTTTTATGAGAATGTCTCAAGTTCTTAGACTGATGTTTTGGCTTTCTGCAGTTAGTTGATAATGCACAATTTGTACTTGCACAAAGTATTCTATGTTCAATTTCCTTACCTCCGATTCTAAATTGGTTATAACTATCCATACAGCGTGGTATTTGAAGTGTCTAGTATTTATTAATTCCACATGCTGAGTTTCTAGGATGGATTCAATGTTAGAGGAATCCGTCATTCTCTTCGTTCCAATCTCATAATGCATAAATAAATAATCCATTCATTTTTACAGGTATTATGCTAATATCTTATTGTAATCTTATTTTTCCCACCCTTAGTTCTTCTGTTAGTGTTATGGTCCGGTTCCTTGTACCACGGTGATAGTCCAAGGTAAAACCAATAAAGAAGAACTCGACCTCAGGTATGGAATAACATATATATATTACAAACAGGAATATATACAGAGAAGTAGAAGTGTTAGTATGAACAATCAGGTTTAGTAGAGACAACAATGTAGTCTCGACCAGTATCACTATTCCAATGTCTTGCAGTAATTGTCTGAACGCGACTCTGTTTCAGACTGCCTCTGACTCGACTCTTGCCTCGACTTGAACTACTGACTCGACTCGAACTACTGACTATATTTAGTCACCCCCCCACGTGGGCATCATGTGGCACAAGGCCTTTTTAACGTGGGATCTCCGAGCCAGTGGGATCGGCCAAAAATATGCCCATTGAACCCGTATAAACGGGTTTCAGGGGTCGTAGTGATTTACCTCCCGAAAAAGAATCCGCCCTTCGGCGTAGCCTCTTTGTCAAAGATTTTGAATGTTAAAAAAAGGCAGAAGTTCAACCGACTATCTGAGGAGTCGCCTATTTGACAAACAAAATGAAAAGGCGCAGTATTTATTAAGTATGGAATAGTCCATTATTACTATTATGAGGAAGATCCCATAACAGTTAGTACATCCTGTCAATACTTTCATAAATAATGGACTGTTCCGTTTTGACCGCGTGAAAACACGGAAAAGACATATCGGAGAAACTGTTCTATATCAAAGGCGCTACTTGATTTCACTGAGAAAAAGAAAGAAAGAATCGATTTCCGATACCTCATAAATAATGGACTGTTCCGTTTCGATCGCGTGAAACAAAGAAAAGGCATACCAGAGGCACTACCTGGTTTCAGTGAGAAAAAAAAAGAAAGAAACGCCTTTCCAATACTTCAAAAAATGGATTGTTCCTTTTTGATCGCGAGGAAATACGAAAAAGACATATGAGAATTTTCAAATTTTTGGTAGAGAAAAAATAGATAAAACATTTTAAAAAGAAAAAACGTCTTGACCAAAACATCATAAATAATGGACCGTTCCGTTTCAATCGCGTGGAAAGACAGAAAAGACATATTAGAGACGCTACTTTCTTTTAGTGTAAAGAGAAAGAAAGAGAGAAACGTTTTACTAATACTTCATAAATAATGGATTGTTAGGGCATCATTAAGACATCAAAGACACTGTTTTATTTCAGCGAGAAAAGAAATGAAAGAAACTAAAGCAGAAAATCCTTGAAATTTTCACGAATAGTACAAGTTAATAATAAAATTAATGAAAACCTCAAAATACCAGCAGATGGGCCAAAATTAAGATATAAATATAAAATATAACTAATAGCTTAATTTATAAGTTATTCTAACAAAATATCAACATAAATAGCGACAGAATAATAAATAGATTCTGACAAGGTCGACAAAAGATGTAACAGTCATTTATTCTTACTATTGATAAATTGCTAACTGAATGATTAAACTTTACTACAAAATCTGTGAAATATCTATAGACATTTTTCTTTCTTTGTCTCTCATCTCTTTTTGTATCTCTCTATATATATATATATATATATATATATATATATAAATATTGAAAATATATATATGAAAAATATAGTCTTAAGGTGTACTATATTTATGGGACAAAGTTTTCAATATCAGAGATAGAGCATAATTTGGAAATATAAAAAGTGAACATTAAAAGTCAAGACTTATATCCGACAGGCTTTGAAAGAACGCAATCGTTTTGGCCTGTCGCCTCCAAACAAAAAATCACTTTAAAACAGTTCTACTACGGAATATTTATATATATATATAAAATATAATAGTGATTGTGGAGATAATATATAAATATAAATATATATATATTTATATATATATATATATATTTATATTTGAATTCAAAAATGCTGATGAATTAAATAATAGGACATCTCAAAGATTATCGCACAAATAGATAGATAGAATAATTATTTAATAACCGGTTAATAAAATTTGAAAAAAAAAACTACAATAAAATGATAACTCGGAATTGTTTAAGTCAAACTATTTTTGTTTAAATTCCGATTTTGATAAAGGACACATGTGAATTCAGAAAATTTAATTTTTAAATGTTTTTTTGCTTCAAAATAGTCAAAAATTAATATATAAAAAAAAATCCTATTGATATTGATTAAATTCTTCAATCTTTTTTATTCCTCAATTTAGAATTAATTTTGTATTTATCTACCCTTTCTAAAATCTATTTATCTATCTATCTATCTAGCTATCTATCTATCTATTTTTCAATATAAGATTGGTGTATAAATGAATAAACAATAACCCCAAAATACTATTCTTAAAACAGTGCTCAATAAATTTAGATTTATAATTTATTAAAAATTATAAATAAATGTGATAAAATCAATTACAAAAGTAGCTATTTTGTAAAGCAACACTTCTGCTGTTTTCTCAACTGATGGTGTTGAGAATTTTTACCAACTTGATAAGGAACGGAAAGTGTTCTCTTATTTTAAAATTTGATCAGTTTAAAAATGTATATTCTAAACATAAAAATAATGTTCAACTCCATTAGATTGTATAAAATACTCTTTAAATTTCGTTCATTTTAACAAAAGTTAAAATTCGGGATCAGAATATATGGGATGACGTGATAGAAACTGAGCTTAAAACCCTCAAAGAAATAAAATACGACAGGATTTCAACCTTATAATATATATATATATGTATTGTGTGTAAAATATTTTTTTTTGAGAAATGGAAAAAATTGTCTCTGTCCACGGGAAACGTTGCAAGTACAAAAGTGTTATCCTATAATTAATACTTTTCTAATAATTTGCGATAAAAAGCATAAATAATACACATAAGTAAAAATAAAATGAAAATCATTTTAATAATAAAAAGTTTATTCAATTTTATAGGATTGCCAGAAAAAAGCATTCATCGGACTTTTTTATAAAATAGTAAAATTGGTAATGAATAATTGTAATAATGAAGAGTATACTAACCCAAAGTGTTGGAATAAAAAACATCATTGATAAGCTGGGATAAAATTAAATTTAAATCGTCTAGTCAACAGTTAAATATTAAGGATATTACATTCTGTGATTAAAAGGATTCAAGGCGGAAAAATTGGAAATAAATAAATGATAATCAATGGATTTGAAATTTGTAAATTTATAAACAATTGAAATGAGATAAATATTCAGAAAGTTCTCGAACTGAGAAGAATTTCTCTCGAAATCTATTCTGAATAGTTGTTTCAAGTTGGTTTTATTTTTAATTGGAAATTGAAGAAAATGAATCAACAGGTCGAAATCATTTATGAACACCACGAATGAAAATATGAATGAATATTTTTCTCGAACTGAGAAGAATTTCTCTCGAAATCTATTCATAGGAATGTGTCGATACCTATGCTAGCTATGCAATTTTTAATGAATAAACTGAGTAAAACAATTTAAAAATGATGACTTATTTCAATATTTCTTTTGAGAATAAATTCTGTTACAGATCCATTTTTTTTTTTCATGATGTATATTTTTAATGAAAATGATAAAAAAAATGAAAAGAAAGACTTTTTTACAAATATTTACACATTGAGAAATATTGGTTTCATCACTTTAATAAACCGATAAAAAAATTATTGATATATGCAAATGATTCTGTATAATTTTATTTGAAATGTTTGTTTTTAAATAAGAAAATACTTTTATTTCGACTTTTAAGAGATGATTAAATGGAATTTATAACAACAAAAAATTTATTTATATTTCAAAAATGTTTTTATATTTACAGTATAAGGCTCCAATTTAAAAAAATTAAAATCAAAATATTTTTAATGAAACAGTATTTTAGCATTTTTAAAAAAATAGTAAAAAAACATTCAATTCTCTTGTGGATTTTTTATTTTTTCAATAAAATTTTTTAAAAACAATCAATAAAATTAATATATGATATTATATTGTTTATATATATATTATATATATATATATAATTTATATATATATATATATATTTAATATATATTAAAAATATATATTCATGTATATATTTATATATATATATATTACCGAATTTCAAGAACTTTTTTTTAGAAAATTTGTTTTAAAAGACTTTATAGTTTAATGATATATTGAAAACAAAGAAAAACCTGTCAAATGTTAATTTGCAAAAAAAAAATTTAATCAAAAAAAATTTTTTAAAACAAGAAAAATGTATTTTCATAAATGGCCCTTTCTTTTAGATTATCATAAATATATATATATATATATAAATATATATATATATATCAATATTATATATATATAGACATCTTATATATATATATTATATATATATATATATATTATCAAAATGGAAATAAGTATATAAGCTTTTTTTATATAATGTTTCAGAATATATATAAATATATATATATATATATTATATTATATATATATATATATATGTGTGTTTGTGTGTAATCAAACCTAAAAAACATTTTGTAATTGGTCGGTTGTAAGACATTATATATATATTGGGAATATACAAAGAAAATATATACACGCATGCTGACAGAAAACACCAAAATGGAAAAGAAAAAAACATAGGGCTCATTAAAACATTAAAAGATAAAATTTTGAAAAGCAATTCATCAAAAATTGGACCAATAAAAATTGTTTTATGACCCTAAAAAGAACTCTTCATATGACAATTAAAGAAAGACATTCGGATTACTAACACAAAAACAGAGAATGTCTCATATCGAGAATATTTAACATTGAAAAAAAAACATAAAAAAAAAAATTAATTATTTTTAATAATATGTGGAAATCTCCGCCTTTTACCTGAAGACGGTCGAGACCAGAAACACGTATAGTAAAATTATGGAAAATAAAGCATAATATTTTCAAAAAAAAAAAAAAATCCACATTAAAAACCAAAAACGTTTGCGGCACCTCTCTTCTCTTCTTTTAAATATACATACTTTTCTCTCGTTGGAATATATATACAACATATTTCTTTTATATATATATATATATATATATATATATATATATATATATATATATATATATATATACACATTCAGTGAATCATTGATATAAAAATGTAGATTATTAAAGTTAAATAAAAACAGAATAAGTTTTTAACAAACTAAATTGGAAGGTTTAACATATAGATAAAATCAAATAATTAAATTTTTTGTTTTAAAAAATTATAAGCTGTAATAATGTCTTTATAAATTTTTAACCATCAAGTTTAATGGAATAATTCATTCAGAATCTTTAAAATTGGAAATTATTTTTTAAAATTAAAATTTAAAATAATAAACAAAAATTCATTTAAAAATTGAAGATAAATTTCGCCAAAATTTTTTTTATGGATAATACAAATCTCAAAAAAAAAAAAAATTTCCATGTATTGAACTCTTTTGAAAAATTATATATATATAAATATATATATATATATATATATATATATATATATATATGTTACTGGGTTATATGACATCAAAAAATATGGGTTAGGGAAATTTGATATCAATTCTGACATATGCTAAATCGATTCAATTAAAGAATGTTTTGTTTTTTATATATATATATATATAACTAAAAAAAAGTCAAAAATATTATTAATTTTTTATAGTCGACCATAATCATGAAGGTTTAACCAATCAGAAGTGCACAACACTGTATCCGTCGTGTATAAAGGCGGCCATCAAAATTTTTCCTTGGAATGACCAGAGGCAACTTGTCCGGCGAACAGGACAATTAAAAAAATTTACGCTCTGCAATATTATATTAAAATATCCACTGCGAACCTGCTTTCCTACTGTCTCCGAAAATAATCACTGCCAACCTCTGGATTCTATACTCGAAGGACGAACGTATTGAAAATGTTAACACAGACTATCATATTAAATTATATTTAAGTATCCTGGTTAATTTTTTAATTGATCAAAGGATTCTACTTTTATTGGAATATCTAGTAATGTTAAAGTTCTTAAACCTAAATATGCCAATTTTAAAAAGATAAAAGTACATGATGTATATATTTTATAAAAAAAAATATAATTTTTTATGTTATAAAATTTATGAAAATTGATGCCGATAAAGTATAAATATCCTCGCCGTTAGTGTGCTAATTCATATATATATATATATATAATATTATATATATATATATATATATATATATATATATATATATAAATCTATATATATAAATATATATATATATATAAATATATATATTTAAACGATATATTTATATAAATTATATATATATTTATATATTTAAATCAAAAAAAATTTTTAACAATTTTTATATTTTTGTTATATATATATATATATAATATATATATATATAAATATATATATATATATATATAAAACATATAAAACAAATATTTCTTGAAAAAATTTACAGTGCTGAAAAAATTTTGAAATTTTTGTACAATTTATATGTGAAAAAAATTTTTTTATTTTAAAATTAGTATAAATTTTCCGAATGTTCTTTTTCTGTCAAATTTTCCTACACATAAACAAACATTTTAAAGGAATATTAAATATTATTTTTATATTGAAAAATAGGTTAATAAAAATTGATAAAAATAAACAGTAAAATTTTTATAAAAAATCTTTTCGAAAATAAAAAAATGTAGAAGATATTAAAAAATTTCTAATAAATTATATATTTAATAAATTAAAAGCAAATACATGTTAATTTTTACAATGTTAAATTTTGAAATATTGTTTATATAAATATAAATATATATATATATATATATATATATATATATATATATATATATATAAATTTTTTATATATATATTTAAAAGTTATTAGAAAAAGCTAGAGCTCAATAATTCAAAAATATTTTTATTTTATATTTAAATAAATATTTATAAAAATTTAAAATAAATATATAGCGTTCACTATAAAACGTTCAAAAACAATAACTCATTTCCAATAGCATTTTCGGATACAACAATACATATATTTTCGTTGTCCTCTTATTACTAAGAGAAAAAACAAGAACAACATCTATTCTATACCTGAAGATGTCTGTAGGAACAGACGAAAGCTTGTAGTAAAAATAAGAACTAATACGGCAGAAATTTATAGAAACAAGGATCTTTTCATTCATAACGGATTCGGAGGTTTTGTATATTATTTGAATTGTTTGCGATGATGGATTTCTCGCCAATTAAATCATTAACCTTTGCATTTGTTTTTTGTGAATAATAATTAATGAATAATATATTATACGTTTATATATATATATATATATATATATATATATATA